TATTTGCGGGTTCCTGCCGTTAGATCTTAGCAGACTGCAAGTGCAAAATTTAAACAAACACAAACGGAAAGCACTCTGGCCCTGGAAAGGATAAGGAGGCAGGTACAAATGATCCCAGTTCAATGTGTTTCACCTACATTGGATTTGCGCCGTCTTATTCCTTCGCTCACTCAACAACCTGAACGCCACTTTTTATTTCAGCATTCATCTCTCATCTCACAGAAAAAGAAAGAAAAAAGAAAAAAGAAAGACCTTACTTACATGATGATGCTAGCGATATTATAGGCGTTTGCCTATGCAGATACTGATGCTTATCGATCAAAGAATGTTTCATTATTCTTCTACACTTTATCCTTGAGTCGTTCATCGGACTTCGCTACCTTTCAAAAGGTAGAAACCCTCATCCACGATCCCCCCCCCGTCATCCAGGTAAAAAGGTACCCAGGCTCAGAGATACATGTAACTTTTCCTTTGGACGCTAGGGCCCAAGCAAATTTGAGATGCTGAACATGATCAGTTCTCAGTTCTCACATGACTTTCGTACAGAAAAAGGCATGGACTCATGCTACCCAAACATCAAACATCACGGAACCCCCCGACATGCCCAATCTAGCCTCAAACAAACCACTCTCCAACATCCTCCTCCATCTTTTTCCAGGAGCCATCTCTTGGCAGCCTGCTACTAATACACATGCAACCACGTTCTAGAAACATTCAAGGGGTATTCCATGATCTATCACGGAGCTTTATTCCACTCCGATTGCGACAAACAGACTTGACACAGCAACCAGCCAGATGCTTCCCATGCATAAGATATGCAGCGATACCGACGCTAATGGCACCTCGTTTCTTTGACGCACCGACGACCGTATTTCAGTGGGCCTGGTAACAGAATGACCAAAATATGCTGGGAATATATACAAGTTGGAATCACGATACCGATGGGAAATTACCAAAGCAGTTATTGGTTATAATTCGTCTGTGACGCGTATAATCGCTGTCGCTTCTCCGGTGGGCCGTCCGAGCGCTGCATACCGTCAGGCATCCTTTGCGGAGGGGGCACGCCCATCTGGGGTATCATCGTATTCGCATATTGCGGTTTCTGAGTCCCGCCTGGCGTTAATACCATCTGCGAACCGCTACCTGCGCCGAGGTACCCTTGGTCCTGGGCCATCGTCGGCGAAGCATGCGGTATCTGACCCGGGGAATGCCACGAAGCACTCGTGGCCGGCGACTGTATCGGGGTAGTATCAAACTTCCCAACGGGGCCAGATGACGCTGCCGATAACGGCGCCATTCCCATGCCCTGGTTTGAATACGGACCAGGTGTCGGTGGCTGGCCTGGAGCTCCGTTTGGATACATCGAGTCCATCATACTCTCCGGAGGGGGATTCCGCAGGAAATTAGCAAGATGCTTCCTGAGCTTACCGATCATTCCCTCCTTAGTGAATGGTTTGGCAAGTACGTCTCGCATACCTGGGCATGAAGTTAGTATCCCAGCAACGAAAACATACGGTCAAAAGTAGATTCTACTCACCCCAATGAAAGTACGTTTCGAGGTCTTGCTGGTTGATGTTGGAAGTCATGGCAATAATTGGCGTATTGGGTTGTGCTTCGCGGATCATGGCAGTTGCCGAGACACCGTCCAGTTGCGGCATGATGATATCCATAAAAATGAGGTCGTAGTAATGCTGTTTCGCATTAACTTTGTTCACAGCCTCGAGACCATCGCGCTGCATCGAACTGTTAGCCAAACACGTACTACTACACGAGTCGAAAGCTACAACTACGTACTGCAATCTCTACACCACAGTCATACTGGGCAAGGAATTTAGAGCCGATTCGAGAACATGTTCTATCATCTTCCACGAGAAGGACGACCGGTTTTTTAGACCCCCAAGGCGAACCATTTTGCGATGCAGCTCCCGGAGGGGTTTGTGAGTGTATAGACGGGCCGTTAAATTCGTGGCCAGGACCCATCGCATTGTCCTGTACCGGCCGATTATACGGAAGGTTGTTAATATGCTCGGCGGCGAAGGGGTCTATACCTACTGTTTGACCAACGGGGTATACAAGATGCCGCATGTCATTCAGAGGGTCATGCAGGAATGGATTTACACCACCTACGCCAGGCGGTCCCATCATCCCCGAAGATCCAGCAGATTCAGGAGAACCGCCTACTTGGTGTAATTGGACAGACATTCGATTCAGATCCCGGTCTGCAACATGATCTACCTGGAGGCTGTTTAGAATATCGCGGGCTCGGCGTAGCTCGAGAGGCGACTCGGAGCCGTCTGACAAGAGATTAGAGGTGTTAGAAGAATATCCGCCTGCTGAGTGACCTGGATTTCGAGAGTCTTTCCTTTCCTGTTCGGCCTTGTTTAAATGGTTGATGAGTTCGTTGTGAACCTGGTTCTGCGCACGGACTAGCTTCTGTAGGTGAAGTATTTCATCTACGAAGATCTTATTCGCATTCACAATCTCGTGATACGATTCCTGAAGTTGCTGGACCTGCTGCTGTGTCGCGGCCAGCGTCTCGCTAAGAACAAGGACCTGTTGGTTAGAAACCCCGAACTGCTCCTCCGCGGCCTGAGCCTTCCTAGGTGCCGGGGCTTTTCGTCGGATATTATCGAGGTTGTCTTTCCTATCAGCCCGAAACTCGGGATGTTTGAATTCCCACGCCTATATACGCCGTTAGTATGTCCCGAGCTAGTATCTACACCGAGGGAGGCAAGTATTACAGATGCGCCATATGGGGATTGTCCATTCTCTTCATTATGCCGCACTTTATGGAAGTCGTATTTATTAAGTTGTCGAACAAAACTCGCAAAGTTGCTATGCTTGAAATGTTTTGGTAATATAGTTTTGGTAAATTTTTCATTCTACAAGCTAGAAGTTAACATTCGACAACAAACGACATGAATTAAAAACCGCGTATTTACCTCGAGAACGACAAAGCTGTCGCCTTCGTTGCCCCACCTGACTACCTCACTGTAGGCCGGATCCTCTAGCATCCTACAATAAAAATATACACGGTCAGTACGGAGTAGCAGAAGGTCGAGGCCGCCCGGTAATCATGTAGAAAAAGACGCGAGTTACTTGTATAATTTGCGAACCTGGAGTTGGGTAGGTTAGCGGGTTGCATATGCGACAAGCCGGCAACTGCAGACTCGAATATGAGACCATGATTATCAAAACTCACAAAGTCGCTCGAGTTATTACCTGCGCCCTGGGCCACAGCGGCCATGTCGGGTTCGGGCATGTTGGGCGATTGGCCTAAAGCCCAGTTGGCAATGATGCCGTCTTCAGCTGGTAAAATATATGTCTGGGCGCGCGTTAAGATGGGTAGTCCCGTATTGAGGTTAGGAAGAAGCTCGGACGGTGGCACGACGAGGAAGACGAGGACGACGTTGACGACGGTGCAACCTGATCTGGAACGACAGCTGCTCTACGCTTTACGTACTGGCTTTCGTGTTCGTGGCTCGTGGTTCGTGGTTCGTGATTCGTGATGTTGGAATACTTCCCCTCTGGGGTTGGTTGTGTCGAGCTGTTGGAGGTTGTGATGGTATGCGCTGTCCGTTATATCTGTATCTCCAAGTACCGTACAGACACGCAATCCACACGATAACAATAGCCGACTCTTTGCAGTCGGTCACCTTTTCCGCGGGTGTTGATATTCCGGCAATAGACTACGCCAAGGACAATGCAGCAGGCGACCAGCTAATTGTCAGTGTCTTCCTTTGGTGCTGAACAAGCACTGATGATGGTGTCCGCCTATAGAACTAGGTTGTGTCACTCAATTGGCAGGAAAGGTTTCTAGGACTCGATATGAAATACAAAAAATAAAAACCCAAAAAAAACCATGACGAGCTGACCCGAACTGGGAAATGTTTGAAGACTACCTAAATGGAGAATGAATTGAATGGATAAGGTGGGTGGGCGGAATTTGGGTACACCTCTCTCTTTTTTGGGGGCTGCCTGGCTAGGCTAGCTGTGCGAGGTTACAGTAATAATAATAATTATTATTATTATTATAAAAAAAGAGAATGCTTCAATTCATACATAATATGGGGGTGTCCTAGCAGAAATCCTGGCAGCGGAGAAGAGGTGGACTTGGTGGATAGGTATGTAGTGGATAATGGGTGGATAGTGGACCTCACCAGGTTAGGTATTTCGTGGTGTAAGTGCACATACCACATACCACATACCAAGAGAAAGATAATAAGATGGTATGGCTGACGGCAGCTCGGGGGTGTGAGCCAAGGGATAGCTCTTTTTTTTTTTTTTTTTTTTTTTTTTTTGTTTTTTTTTTTTTGTTTTTTTTTTTTTTTTTTTTTTTTTTTGGGGGGGGGGGGGGCAGGACTGCAACTAATTGAATTTGTCGAAGCTCCCGCTTTTGATGACAAAGAAATGTCGGTACAGATAAGCTACATCATCTTACTGCATGTGTCCACTGTTACTGCTGTAGAAACCGTATCTATCTGCATGCACGCTTTCTTTCTATAGGTGACAGAGCTCCCTCATATAGCCAATGGTGCACTTGAGGATTGTTATGACGAAAAAAACAACAATCACCTTTCGCCTGAATACGAGTTCCAAAAGAGATTCCTGATCTGAATTTTATATTGTGAGGCGAAGTTGATCTTGGGTATGTTTTACCTAGGTAGTAACGGGGTAGGCAGATGATAAAAGATTTAAGCGCTTTCTACGTGTAAATAGATAATCAAATTTAAAGACCATAAAGTTGTTGCAGGAAGCGAAGTAGTTTCTTTTTGAATAAACTGGTTGGTGGAGTGATGATGATATCTGCCCAGCCATTATCCCTGTTTATGTACCTATGGAAGTCCACTGTCTCCGCTATCGATACATAGGTACATTAGGTAGGTACATAGTCTATGTACCTTGACCTATCCTAGGCTGAGATTTACGAGATACGTACCATATATGGGAATTGAACTCGAAACATTCGTCTACCCTTGTCAGGCCACCCAAAGCTGACACTGACATGCATCTTTGCCTCTTTAGGGCCACATCAAAAAAGACATCAGGTATTGGAAGATTCCGTGAGACTGGGACGAGATCGGTCGTTTAATGCAATACCTTCCCGTCCTACTTCAACTTACACTACTTCTTTCTTTACCACACATTTACGCCTTTCACTTGCTGCATGGCAATTAGCAAATGTGTTGTCTATTACACTCGCTTTATCTCTACCTAGTATTCACTCACTTATCAAGGCTTCAAGGCTTCTGCAAAGTACCCCAGTACGTCGTCTAATGCTTATGTGAATTTCAGTACAATACCTACAATATCTACAATACCCAATCGGCGATCTATCTTACTCGAGGCTTGCAGAGCTACGAAACAGATAGACAAGTTAACAAGCCAACTCGTAAGCGTCAGTTGTGACAACTCGACAGCAGCCGCTCGATCCACTGTTCGATTTTCCTCTCAGCCCTCCTCCCCAGGTCGCATAACTGGCGGAAGGACAGAGCGAATCCTTACCTTTGGCGATCGTTTCTGAAACAATCCATTATTTAAGAACTGATGAGAGCGGGAAATCGCAAATTGACGTCACTACATCCTCATCGCCATTCTCAATCGCACGCACGTGTAAGCCGTGCAAGAAGAATCGTCTGATCTAACTCAGTTGAAGTTCGGCAGCGGCAGCAACGGGTACCACGGATGCAAACTCTCTTCAAAGGAGATCTCAATCTATAAAATTCAATCGTTAAAATCATCCAATAAATCATCCAATCATTCGGCTTGTCATTTAGTTAAGTGACCTCCGTCGTGCCACTGGGGATTCACTTACATACTACATCTGGTCGTTTGAATACCACATACGGGTACATACCCGCCCACACAAAGAGAAGAGAGATCGCCAAGGAGCCGGAGTTGATACATACCTACGTATTGTGTGCAATACGACAGTCGAATAACGAGTGAATTTGGTTGGTAGTCAAATTGTTGTTCGGTCAGGTTCTGATCATATTTTATTGGTCAAAGTCACTGGCGTCTGGCGAGGCAACGTAATTGCTGGCACTGCCCAGAAACGCCATTAATCACCCTTGTCCTGGACTTTGTATCCCAGCCACGCGAAACCGCACTTCCTTGAATTTGGCCCCTCCTGAGACGACTAATAAGCTTAGAGGTACCTGATCCATCACCTACCGCCCACCACCACCCACCACCACCAAGTCCTGTTGACATTAAGAACTTGCAATCCGCCTAGAAAACATAGCAACCACCGCCTGATCCTGCATACAAGTACTCTACTTTGTCAATGCGAAGGTCGCACGACACTACGCACAGCCATTACAGAGACGCCATACATATTGTAAATCAGGACTCCTGCATCAATATTTCTGATAAGACAAAAAAAAACAGCCAAAACCCGAGGTTCCGGGCCCCGATATTCTTTCCAGATATCAAACCACTTTCGTTTTCTTAGCACAGTGTCGATTAAAGTCTGAGAAGATCTTGGTCTTTTAACTGGCAGATACCCTGAGAGACCCGCACAAGTTACCGCACTTTGAGCCTGCAAGGGTCGTTGCTCTTATCGCAACCACAAAAAGAAGTACCTACATCAGCCGGCCACAGCAGCTGAGCAGCCCAGAATTATCTATTCCCGACCCTTCCTAAGCCCACTTGCGCCGTCTGCGATAAGACAAGACGGTCAAATTCAAGATTACGCTCTCCACGATCGCTTCCTTGCATATCACAATCGAGCGCCGATCCACTTGCTATCGTTTCTAGCTTCTCCGTCCCCACCAGTGGACTATCCTTTTCAGGGATCCAGAGCGATAAAACATTTGGCCTTTGCCCGTCCGAAACAATGGCGTCTACAAGTTACAGCCATCACCCTCTGCCCACGCCGCCGCAGCAAGGGCAATACCGCGACGAATCTTACCAACAACAAGCTCCCGTTCCACCACATCATTTCTATCAGCAGCAGCAACGGCAGCAGCAACAAAGGCAGCAGCCACGACAGCAGCCAGTAGTACCCACAAAGCCTTCCGAGCCGCAGAAACCAGAGCGGGCCCGACCAAAGTCAAGAGCGTTTAGTTTTCGGTCCGAGAAATCTCACAGGAGCTCGAACTCTCATAATAAGAACAACTCTCATGAGACATCGGCCGAGAAGCAAGCCAACCGACTTCACGGCAAAACTGATCCTACACTAGCTATGACCGAACTAGAACCATGTACGTTACTATATCTTACCCGAACCGTATAGTTAAACATTTGATGGCGTATACTGACCTGAAGTATAGCTATGGAAGCGCAATCCAAAGGGGGTATTAATCCAGCTTCCCTACGCTCTTTCCAACACAAGGATGTTTATGGCAACCCAATTAGTCAGTATAGTGTCTATATATATATATCTATTTACAATGCTAACCGTCGTTTAAGCCGACCCCGACCGATCGAACCCTACTCGAAGCCGATTGGAACGGCCTCTTGATACCATTCGAGCTTTCGAAGCTGCCATTGATGGCGCATATGGCCGCCAATCAGATACCGCGTCTGTAGCCAATTTTAGCAGACGAGGAAGCTACTACGGAAGTAAGCAATACATCTCTCCATCACTATCACTTAATCACGTGTGCACCATCTCACAGAAGACATCATTAGACAACGGCCCGCGTTTTCCCCAAGACAGCTACTACGGAGGTCGACCAAATTCTGGGTTCCGACCAGAAAGTACTATGTACGATCCTAGACAGGCCGTGATCAATCACCGAGAAAGCTACCACGAAGGATATGAAAACGCTCCGTATAGCCATAGCAATCCGGGTCCGAGAAATAGATTTTCGAGAATACAGACCGATCCGTACGTGAACCACCGCGGGGTTGTCGATAAGAACGTCTACCCCATGCCGAACAATCACCGCTCGTATGAGACGGTCGCGTCCGGTTCTGGTAGTGGAAGTTTGGGTGAACCGGCGGGATATCAGACTGATCCCACTAGTAGCGATAATAGCTCAATCGATCGCCGTTCGCCACCAAAACGACAGGAACCAGTGAACGACTACGGCATCAGCTTTGGCCAGGCAACGCAAACCCCAAACCTGGGGCTCGCACCACCTAATCCACGTAAAGAGAATGGAATATTGAGGAAGCCTTCAAAAGTTGCAGTACCTAGCGGGTACTCGGAAGAGCGGCCGCAGGTGGAGAAGCGAAAGAGTTGGTTTAAACGATTGAGTAAAGCCTAGGCCTATTAACGAACGAGTCGATATTGCTTCTGCGATGGAAGTACTCGCACATCTTAATACCTCTTTGAGATACCCCTTGTCCCTACGACATCCGACATTTCCATTAATCATTTTTTATGTTAATAGCCCCGATCGGGATGCAATTCTAGAAGATACAGTTTTGACGATCCATAATGGACCAGAGGTCATGAATTGACCCGGATATGTGTCCCCTGAATGTTCAGCAGGGTTCGAAGATGAAGTTCATAGGGACGAATTTTGCGACATTCAGCATCTGGTATGGTGTTTCATATTGAAACGTCGCATTTGTGGGCATGGGAGGAGGCTGTGGTGAAATATAATAAGGTAGCATCAGAAAGTGGAGTTGGAGTTGGAGGAAGGTTATGTTCACGATGTTAGGAATATTTGGAGGACCGGGCGAGCTTCCTTGTCTCATAGTCCATTGCTTATCCTTAATGACCCTATTCTTCATGGCCCCATTACGGGCGGATATATGCGAGGCCTATGTGGTATGTGGTATGTGGTATGTGGTATGTGGTATGTGAAAAAGGGGTCGGACAGGCAAGGGTGTAGCGCACTTAGTGGCCTACCAGGAGCCATCTGCTAGAATACAAATGACACATTTGACTCAATGTCAACTTCATAATATGGTATGGTGTACTCTCATTTAGACGTGAATGCTTATCAAATCTATGGGAGAACAATGCTTACGAGATAGATCACGTAATGAACATGTAATACTAAGGAGGAATTCCGAACAAAAGTGCTTTCATTTCTGAAGTAGTATCGCCCGTAGTGATACTAGCATGTTATATGCCAAATACTTGTAACCTAAGATATATATATATATGTACCTCAGGCATGATTCCCTCGATTTCCCCGGGCTGAGATATGGTTTTGGGAAATACACAGACCGCCGTTACTTTCCTGGCATGTTTACGCAGCTAGTTAATAAACCTAGGCCTCCAAATATAACAACCTACAGTGAGAACAACTTCCCATATATATGTCTTTGATTAGTCCTTCTTTCCCTCTTTCTTCTTGGCTGCCAGCTGTTCTGACTGGTCTTCATTCATGGCAACAATCACGTAGCCTAGAAGGACAACGTTTGCCATGATAGCTGCAAGGGCTCCCGCGTACGTGGAATTTCCTAGTCATACTTGTTAGCGTGCTTGGAATGAGTAATAGGGTAGATGATGCGTCACGTGGCCACGTAATATGCAGTGATTGCAAACTTGTGAGGAAAATAGCAATATTATAATAGAGGAGAATATGGGCGCTTCGGCTTTACCTCTGAAGATGGTGTTCACCGTTAAGAAATAAGACCCGATTGGTACGACTACCATGGCAAAGGTGAAGGCTAGCAACTTAATAATTACACCGCTATTGGCAGTGTTAGATTGGCTAAGCTGTTTCACTTTGGTAGTAGGGAGGGAGCGGAGAGTAAGGAGTAAGTCTAGAAGACAAGAGGGTTGATGTTATGAGGTGGTTAGGCCTTCGATGGACTGTACTTCCCTACTTACATCGGGACGGCTGGCGCGGTACTGCTCGACTGCTCCTGTCCGGAGGTACCGTCGTCATCTTTGTCGAGGAGAGTCTTCTCTGTGGAAATAATACGACGAGTAGCCATTGTCTTCGTCTTCCGTTTCCTCTTCCTTTTCTTGGAGTTGACTTGATAATTAACACTGGCAGTGGCTTAACTGGTGCTAGGATTATTAGTTGTATGTAAAATCAACAATCTTATTGTGGTTCGTTTATTTGTTGTAGGTAGGTAGGTACTGAGGCTCATCTGGACACGGGCCTTGGCATCAAAGAGGCTTAAGCAATTGATGGATATAAGTGGGGTCCTCAATGTATTTAGGTACCTAAGGTAGCTGTTACGTATGTATATTGTTATAGCTAACTTGAGTACGGAATTAATTAAACTTTTTTTCCCGTCAGCTGATAGCGCGCCCTTAGTGCTTTCAAACCCACAATTTACCGCGTCGAGGCGCGTGAACCCACTTTATCTCCTGTGCGTTTCCATAACGTTGAAAAAGAAAAACGAAAAGAAAAGTTGCTTTGATTTCGATTTAATATCCTTTGTGCCAACTTCCTCCAGTTTGCAGGCTCGTATCGGCCACATAAAGACTGTTCATCCTAACAATACCTAATATAGCTCTTGTTATGAGTCCTCGCCTGACTGCACTTGCCCATTCTTCTTCATAGAATCATCCTTCCTTCACGATACCCAATCAAACCTATACTCTCTTATCTCAAACCTCAAGCCAGATATCTGCATTGATATTACCGTTCCCCAGTGCGATCTATTGCTTCTAGGTATCCATTCTTTAAAATGGGACGGCCATCTCCGTCCATCTCGGGCAAAGGCTCTACTCCAATCCCTGGCACTCCAGGATTGAGTCGGAAAGGCCAGCCCAGCTGTCGAGCTCGGAGCTCCAGCGCGGCGTATATTGAGATAGATGACGGTGATGATATCGACGAGCTTGCTATTGACGGAGTTTCGCCATACTTCACTCAGCCAACGCAAATAGTTAACAGAGCTACCCAACCTACTCAAATAGTAAACCGAGCTCCGCAACTGCCATCCTCTCCTTTAGTGCCTGATACGCCACGTGCGACTATTGAAGTGCCTGCTTCGTCTCCATTCCGGGCCGAGAGCCGGGCAAAGCCCTCGGATCTGCTAATTAAGAAGTCTGGCGTAGCAAGTAGAGTAGGATCATTAATCGCACCAGCGGGAACGTCATTTAGGCCACCTACGATGCAGAAACCACCACAGAAAGCTGGCGGTCCTGCGGGCCGACGAGACTATATAGATATCTCCGATGATGATCTATTAGAGGACTATAAAAAGCAGGATAGCTCAGATGACGATACGCCTACTAGAGGGGATATACGCCCTTCATCTTTTGCGAAGAACCCATCGTTCCCGGCGTCAAGAACAGGAGCTGCGTGGTTTGAGAATGCAGACATCTCTCTTAACGATATTCGTGATATCAGACTACGGCACCTGACCGGCCAAGTTTACAAGATCGTCCAAAGGGCTGTACCTGGAATTACCATTCGAGCCTGCAAGGAAGCATTGCAGAAGGATGTTGGCTGGCAAGTTTCGAAAGCGGTGGATTCATTGACGGGAAGGCCAACAAAAGCTCTCTCGCTGCCGAAAGCTACAGGTGCATTGTCCAACAACACCTGTAGTAGCACTGCAAACACTAAACGTGCACCTGACGATAGTGAATATCTCGAATCGACCTCAACCTCTTTAGATACCTCAGGGTGCGATGCCCCTCGAAATAATTTGCAAACTTTTTTGAAAAAGCTTCCGCCCTCTGCAAATTCAACCAAGTCTTCTTCTCAAACTTCAGTACAACTTTCTCGCACACAAAGTTCGAGCAACTCAATTCTTTCAAGCAATTCAATTACATCGAATACATCTAACAACAACCCACCGCGCAGACGTCTTGTACAAGGGCGAAAACATTCTTCAACACCATCTGCAATCTTTTCTATATCATCTTCACCTACTTCAACTATTACTAGTCTAACACAGTCAAGAGAGCCATCGCCAAACGACAGTCTCGATATGAAGACCAGGTCATCCGCTGCTCAGGCGGCCGCGTCTAAGGCAATGCCTCGTGGTCGTCGACTCATGCAGGGTCGTCGCAAGAAGACTCCCGATCCTGATTCAAATTCCGAGTCAGATTCACTCCCCTCCGTAGCCCGACTTGCTCAATCTCGTAACAGACAACCGGGTGCAGAAGACCTGCTCCCGATGAAGAAGTCTAAGGTCGACAAGAGCGAGATTCAATCGCGAAAGAGAGATTCGGATCAATTAGAGCCTGAAGCTTCCGACCTTCCTACCCCTCCTAACAAGAAGACAAAAGTTGAAACACCCAAGAAGCGTAAGGCTGATGATGAACTTGAGCGTGATGAGTTTAAAGAGGATGAGGTTTATGAAATCTCTGACGAGGACTCTGACGAGGGCTCTGACCCCGATGAACTTGTTGAAGATCTCTCTAATGTCCTCGAGTATCTCAACACTTGCACCGTTGAGAATTTGGGCCGCATGATTGGTTCTACAGCGGATGCCCAGCTGATGAACAGATCCCGCCCTTTTAACTCCATTGCCGACGCCGAGAAAGTCTCGCGACAAGACAAGGCCAAATCAAAGAAGAAGATTAGAATGATCAATATCGGCGAGAACATCGTAGAGAAGCTAAAGTCCTGGTTACAGGCATGCGAGGCAGCAACGGCCGTCATCGACGAGTGTGATAGAAGAGGAGCAGAGATCAATAGTATCATGTCCACCTGGAATCTTGATAAGAATGGCGAGTCTAAGGATGACGCAGCCACTCTAGCTCGACTACCGATTGAAGAGAAGCCCGAGCTGATGGGCGAGAGCATCAAACTCAAGCCCTATCAGATGGTTGGGCTCAACTGGATGGACTTGCTGCGCAGGAAAGGTTACGGCGGCATTCTCGCTGACGACATGGGCCTTGGCAAGACTTGCCAGGTCATCTCATTCATCTCTCACCTAGTCAAGTCGGAGCGTGAGCCTGATTCCAGGCCGCCTTGGCCGAACCTGATAGTTGTGCCGTCGAGTACCTTCGAGAACTGGATAAAGGAATTCGAAACCTTTGCTCCCGGTGTCTCGGTATTGGCGTACACAGGCTCAAGCCGTAGAGGGATCTCTCCTAGAACCGCAAAGCAGCACCACGTCGTTTTAACAACCTATCCGCAAATTGAAAGACAGCGCGAGGATCTTAAGTTCCTCCAAGCTATAGAGCCATATGTTTGTGAACTCATTCTATTTATATACACGAGCTTGACTAACTAGTATTTAGGCCGCCATATTCGACGAGGGCCATAAGCTCAAGAACCAGAGTACCCTCATTTATAAGCAGATGATGCGGGTACCGACTGAATGGCGCCTTATCCTCAGCGGTACGCCTGTACAGAACAATTTGAAAGAGCTCCTAACCATCCTTCGTTTTATCGAACCCGGTATGTTCGACAAGGACAAGTTCAATGCGCTCAATACAATCTTCGAAGCCAAGGTCCCCAGCAAAGATGTCCTAAACTTTGCAGCGCTTGCATCAGAACGTGTCGAACGTGCCCGCGTGGTCATGGCTCCATTCATTCTTCAGAGGCGAAAGGAAGAAGTGCTCGCTTTACCTCCTAAGACGGAGCGCCTTGAAATCGTGGGGATGCATGAAACACAGAAAGAGATCTATGATTCGATTAAAGGCAAATACGTACTACCGAACGGCGTCAAGAAAGCTAAGAAGGATGCACATCAATGGATGTCACTCCGAAAGGCGGCAATCCATCACCAATTATTCCGCCATCATTTTACCGATAAAATGATCTCGGAGATGGTAGAGATTTTGTGGAAGCACTACCCTGCTAATGAACTCGGTGTCGAGAGTAAGGACGAACGCTACAAGACACGTTTCGCAGATACTCTCTTGGACAAGACCGACTTCCAACTGCATCTCGATTGCAAATATTTCAAGCGAATCCGACATTTTGATGTTCCTGATCGATCATGGGAGGACAGCCCCAAGGTTCAAAAGCTCTTAGAACTTGTACGCGGCTATATGAAGAACGGAGATCGTGTATTGGTATTCAGCCGTTTCGAAATTGTAGTGGATATCCTACGAGAGGCTCTACACTATGCAGATATCCCATATTGCTGTATCACAGGAGCCACCGATACGGCAGATCGGTTCCCGGAGATTCAGCGCTTCACGAACGACCCGGGTATCCCCGTTTTCCTCATTACCACTGTGGCCGGCGGCACTGGACTGAACCTTACCGCGGCGAACAAGATCATCCTCTTCGATCAATCGGAGAATCCGCAAGAAGACGTTCAGGCATCCAACCGTGCGCACAGGATCGGACAGACGAGGCCAGTAGAGATAATCCGTTTCATCACAGAGAAGTCGGTAGAGTGCCTCATCTACAACTCGTGCGTTAAGAAGTTAGTTCTTGCTGCCCGCGTCGAAAGAGTATGGGGCGTAGAAGAAGAGGAGGAAGAATCTGTGGAAGAGCAGTGCAAGAAGCGTATGCTCCTGGGAGACGAAGAATATAAGCCGATCGACCTACCTGAAGTACTTGAAGCACTTGAGGCACCTGGAGCATCCGAGGCTACTTAGCAGTCCCAGTTCGGGCCCACCACCACACTCATCTGAGCGGCAGACTTACCTTCTTAGAAAGGCCTTTGCTAGATCATACGATGCATGATATGCATACACACCATTAGCTCTCGAAATTGACTCTTGTCATTATGTCTCCTCGTCGATATGATTGTCGGCTTATCTGACAACTCACTTCTTTCCAACTAGTAAGAAAGAAGAAGAAAGCCCCGGAAAAAAGAAAAAGGGCAAAAAAAAAAAAGCTTTCCTGCGACGCGCATGTCGAGGCATAGTACACGACATACCCTCATCTTTCTTACCTTACTAGCCGAGAAACTTTTTTTCTTGGCTTCAGCAGCATATACCTGAGCAGACACCATTGTCTAAGAGGATCGATACCTCAAAGAGCAACTTTGTCTCTACAGTACCGTGCCTGTATTGACCCTATTGATCAGAGATACCCGATATATCGGAAGAACATTATTTGTCTTCACAACACGTACCTACTCAGATCCCGCGATAAAGAGTATTTCGCACACATACCCAACATGTCATTCGAGCATACGAAGCACATCCGCTATTTTCCATCAAGATACACTGGCTAGGGGGCCTCTGTTATCTGAAGGCCTACAAATGGATACCTTGATACTCAAACATCATATCATAGCGCCGTTCCTCTCCCGAACAACCGCATCTTTTCTCATTACGATACGCACT